GAACTTAGAATGTAGTTTATATATATATACATGGCCTGGCATTTGCAACATATCTTTAAATAGTTGAATTGTAAATATAACATCATCCACGCAAATGCTCATTGCTTTCTACAGTTAATCTGTGACACAAATATAGGACTGCTACAATCATGAAAACTGTTAGAATTCAGAATAATTGAGGTATCAAGTAGGCCACGTTGTTGATACACACGTGACTGCAAATTCTGTACTTAGTTTCACATTGGTAGTTACTTGAATCAATGCGCTCTACAACCTCAATGACTGAGGGGTCATTATTTCCTTAAAAAAAACAGAATATTGTTGCAGCAAGTCTCACCTGGAATCATGATCCGATAAGACTCAGATTCACTATGACGCGCCTAATCGGAATATCAAGGATATGATGTAGTAGAGCAGATAATGTGGTTAGCGCATTAGGAGTTGGGACACCTTAAGTAGCCTCCCCTCGGTGGACAGTTCGGAGATGTATGTAGAAAATGATTGGATTAGGTTGTAGACGGCAATTCCTAACCTAACTGTGTTAGATTGCAGGCTTCTGTCTTATGTACTCATGGGTTTGTCATTAAGGTTATTGTTAAGGTTTAGCTTCGGTTATCTCTCTGATTACCGAGCGGGCAGCATATCAAGGAGGCATGTAGCTCAGGTGGATGTATCGCACGGTAAACTATATCTGAAGCTGCTACGTATTGTAGTAGGTAAAAGAATACTGCTATTCGGAAACTACAGCTCCATCCCAGAATCATGAGATAAATCAGGCTATGCACGCTAGATATAGAATGGCTAGCAGATATGGTGAATATGGGGGTAAATATGTAGATATATAAAGACATTGTAGCCTCTAAATTGTAGGACAAGTCTTCAACCAAATTTTATCGGAATCAATCCTAGCCTCTCATAAAGCAATCTCATGAATCTATTTCCGTATCTGTGATGATAGACCAATATACAAAGTCGACGATTAAGTTCAAAGTCGATTAGAAAATATGTAGAAAATATGGAGTACAGAGATAAGTCGATTGATGTGTAATGGAAGTAATTGATGAAGTCTTGTTTTTTCTATTTTCTATTGTTTCTATGTTGGAATACACTATTTTCGATCCTACTAGGCTCGATAATAAAAGTCCCGGCCAACTAGTGTTTGGTTAATGGAGAATGCGTATACCTTGTGTTAGCGTTTTTTTTAAATATTTAATGTGTATGCAGCTATAAAGCTATGACACATGACCGGTGCTATGTATACATGTGAGATGACTTTTTTGACATTAGAGATACTCATACCCTGGATCTCATTTGCAAATACCACTATAACCTGTGTTTGCTTGCACAAACAGTCGACCCTCCTCCGTAAGCACCCATCAAAGGGAATTTCAAAACCCTTTGGTTATCCAAGCACGCCTTCGTCATCCATGCACACCAGCGCCCCGAGAAATGTGGTTGTGTTTTGCCGGATTTGAACCAGCGATCTACTGTCTCAAGTGAGATGTGCCCAAGCTATCCAGACTCTACTAGGCTGACCGGTCATGAAGATGTACCATCGCAACATCTTACCAGGGCGGTGCTTATAGTTTTGCCCACACTCTTGCGACTGAAGCCTTGGCACGCACAGAGCTCAGTTTTTAAAAACTCCTTGGCAACATTCAAAATTTCACGCCCGTCGAGATTGTATCTATTCTCTGCATAGTCTTGTTAACATATCCTGATTCCTCTCACGTTCATCCCAAAGAGCTGTCTCCTAGATTTCTGCACCACGCTTAGCTTCCTCCGTCGGGTGTAAATGTCGGCGTGGGCGTGTATTTGGTGACCGGTTGAGGCCTGACGAAGTCGACGAGAGGTGTGGTCATTGAAACGAGGATGTACTAGGTCGTACTTGTAGACTTGATGAAGCTTAGTTGAGAATCGGACTCTTTGGGAGTGAAAGATTGAAATGGTGGAGAAATTTGAAAATTTGCCTCGTGGGCCAACTTCTTTGATATTGCGAAATTTGACTGAACTTGGCTCTGAGAGAATATTTCACTCACAGGTTCGTGGAGGACACCGCATACAGGTGTTCAGTCTTGCCCTCCGAATTGCTGAAGCGCGAGCAGTGACGCCTTCGGAGCACCTGAATTAATCGCATTCATGATAAATTTGGCGAGCTAGGACCACAAAAAGCTTGACGATCAAGTCCGCCAGACACAATTAGTAAGCAAGTGTGTCAGCCAATCAAACATGGAATTTGGAATGGACAGATATGGACTAGTAGCTCGGTAAAAAAGAGCACTAAGAGATTGGGGACAATTGAAGTAGTATAAGTAGGGGAGACATCTCCCAACATCCTTTTCCCTTTCCTCATACTTACCTTCTTGACACTGAGGCGCTCACCAATGCTTCCAGTGGCGATACGAAACCTCCATTGCACAGCGGGGCGTTGAGTGTCGCTGACTTTCCTTCGGGGACGTCATCGGGGGAATTTTTGATAGCAAACCGGATTAGATTCAAGACTTTCATCAATGCGAGCCACAGGCTACAATGAAGAAGGCATTTCCAAATAATTCAATCGTTCTGACTACCTGCCTCCAGGAAGTAAATGAAACGTTGGTAGATTTTGAAATTAATCAAGGAAATGGACTGCGGAAAGAAACGAAATCATTAAATCGAAATGATATACCTTGACCTGACAAAAAATCTTGTGTGATTCCGGTATCCAAGCCTCGTTTGGCTGAGGCTGCAGGTTTGAAACTTATTCCCGCTGTAACGGCTAGTGAGCCGATAATTGTCGTTTATCACGTGCTGTTAATCACGTGCCTCAACAATCCTGTGAAAGGCGAAACTTCACTCTAGTTTATTCTGAACATGACTAGAGGATTCTAGCAACTGGCATTGAGGCTGTGAACTGGTATCAGGGAAACATAACAGAGGCTAGTATCAGACAGGAAGGAATATTCTAGATAGCCTAATAAGTGTATAAATAGTTGAGTTAGGACACACATATTGTGGTATAGAAAATAATAAACAACCTTCGTATATTTGATCGCCCCAGCATCTATACCTCGAACTGTGACACCCACCCACGTAATTTCCATTACTATCTTCTTTTTTTTGGTAGAAGGTCCCGTGCAAAGGTGACCAAATGCCATGGGTAAGCACAAAGCTAAATGTCCATTCATCACGGGTAATATTTCAATGATCTTTCAAGTAACATAAGAGAAAGGGAGCACTATGAAAGGTGTAGTGTGTGTCAGAGAGTTTTTCAATGTTTCAGATAATCATTGACTCAAGTAGCATAAACAGCACACACAACTTTTATTTTGTAGATTTGAATTTGAATTCATTATCCTGATTTGGCGCCCTGTGAGCCCATGCAGGTGTCTGTCATACCTTCTAATTTACATGGGAGGAAACCTTTTGGTGAACTCCCCAAACCTTCCCGTTTAATTTCTATGTTTTTTCTGATGTATCCTTTAGGATGCGCAGTTACACTACAGTGACCTCCATATAACCCAATCACATCAGCTTTCTCGGTCTCAAGAAAGGCATGACCTGTTTCTTTCCCTCTGCAGCACTTCGACCGCCTTTCTCATCTAGAGTTGCTCTATTCAACCATGATTTAGGATCCACTGTGTTATCCTTCTGATATCTCCAGGATTTTTTATCATAGCTTCGTAGGACCGATCTTTCGCTTGTCTCTAGATCTCTCCTCTTCCATTTGAACATCAAGGGCAGGAAATAATCAAGTACTTGGGGTTCTGCGACTGGTAGCCATATGGAGAGTTTGGACTGTAGACTTCGGGTACTTTTCTTCTATATAAATACGGATTGAGCCCCATGTGCTTAGTTCGTATTTGTATCGCTAGACTGCTTCGGGCCTTTTTCAGGTTTCGGTAGAGAAAAGATGGCGATTCCTGCAGACTTATTTTCCATCACTACGAATTTCGGCTCTGATAGAAATTAAGTGCTCTCCAGGTTTCGGGAGTTCCTTGGTATTGAAGTTAAGTCTTAATTTTTTAGTGATGACCGACTAGTTGCTATTTTTTTAAAATCTAGTGGTATGACTGTTGTCATAAAATTACACCAAATCTGGTAGAAAGGCGTATGGCTATCCTGTTTTCGACATCAAGAATTTGACTATATTTATAGCTATCTTTGAATCTTGAGCCTTCGCCAGCCTCTTACTACGATCAAACAGCAAAGACATAAATACATGATTTTAAGTGGCTAAGAATGTATTGTATGGATATGGACGTGGATTGCGATACTTCCGTGGGCATCCCAGTCTAACTCCATATCCGTATAGTCCATTCTTAGCCACCTAATATATGAGTGCATAAGTGAGCTCTATGAGCCACTAGTCAGTGTGATTTTTCTTGAAGCTTACGTTCAGCGTAATTGATACCTTTCCTAGCTACTCAATTTTCTCACTATCACTGAGCTTTTATCATAAAGTCAAAGTTCTAAGAATGGCCTATACACCTTTATTGGCGACAGTTTAATAGCACTTGAGGGTAGTGAGGCCTACACTCGCAATCTCTGCTTTAAAATTTATTTTCAATAAGAGTGTAGAACACTGAATAATTAGTTTGTGGGTTGAATCATTTTATTTTGTTATCATACCTTAGAGATTTAGGCAACTTGATCCCTACTAGACCTAATATTGGCGCTTGTACCTTGATATGGGCGATTGTTGCCTCTTGAATAATTTCTCCAGTAGTTGGTGCTTGGGTCGATTCCGAATGAGCCTTGTTTTTAAAGGTTGTCACGATACGAATTAAAAGATCGGATGATAGGTTTTACGAAAAAGACGGGTATGAGAGATCTACCAGGGTTAGCTTTTCTCTTTGATGCATCATATGTCAACCAAAGGTATATCCTTACGCCCCGTGTCAAATTTTTCGTAGGATCTTGTTCAAAAGCTCAGCTTCATCTTTCTTTTGGCCAGATTCGAAATAAAAATTGAGCTATTTTACCCAGCTGCAAGAGTTGATGCCTAAAGGTATCTTGGCTCAGCATAGATTGTAGAGCTCTTCCCAGTCCTCAGATTCTAGTTCATCAGCCCCATAGTCTGTAATTTGCGATGGTATTAAACTAGTTTGACTTTCATCAGGGTTATTGTTTAATGAGATTTTGGTGGATTTGGGCTCTTCAGGTTGCAATAGTGAAATTGATCCAGTATTTTCAAAAAAGCTTATTGGGAGAAGTTTGGGTGAGATTTGCTGATTTTGGATAGTCATGCTTTCTTTAGATAAAGTGTCCAGATTTTTAAGTATATTTAAACCTTCCGTGTTCATTACTTTACTTTCGTAGAGAGCCGCCTGTAATAAATCTTCCTCTTTCTCTTCGAAAAATCGACCTTTACTTCCGCGATTCACATCTGGTTGAGCTTGCCCAGCCTCAGGTATAGAAATGGAGGGTTTACCCGAACGAATTTGTTGTGAAAGAATAAGAAAGTCCTGAGTACAGATTTGGTCGTCCAAGAAATCATTGTCTTCAATGGTCCTAGCTACATCAACTTCAGGGCTTTGTGCGATACATCCGCTGTATTTTGGATAATCTTTCTCATTAGATTTTTCCTCTTCATTATATGATTTTAGTGATTGGAGCGGGATAAGAGTTTTGAGGGTTAGATCTACTTCTCCAAGGTCATCAGGTTTACATATTTCTGTCATTATTTGTGAATTTGATGGGAAAACATATTCTTCGGTGTCCTCAATAATCTCCAGTTCACGCACTTCTTGGGTTGGGCTAGGGAAAAAATCTTCGAGGTGATCTTCAAGAAAGACTTGTGTAGATGAAAGAGGTATTTTGCTCGGAGAAGAATCAAATAGTCGAGTTTCTGCATGTTCAGTATATAAATTATCGGCTAGGTTGATATGTTGATCTTCTAGAGATAGTTGACTTCTTGTCGCCACAATTTTATTGTGAACATCATAACGATGTTGGTCAACAGGACACAAAGTTGTCTTAGGCGTACTCAATCGCTCGAATGTAAACTCATTTTGTTCGCATGCATTCAAATTAGCTTCCATTAGAGTCTTTTTCGATACTAGAGCACATCCTCTATCTTCAAGTTGTGAATTTAGATCCACACATTGCTCGGATAATTGAAATTGGGGTTTTGGGGATACCAATGTCACTTTTTCCCTTTGACTTGATCCAAAAGCTTGTTTTTCTACCTTTCCCGCATTTTTATCATCAAAAGCTAACGATAGGCAAGGAGTTTTATTTTGTTGGTTGATAGGACTGTCAAATATCTCAAGTTGCGAAAATGATGGAAAGTCACCAAACTCGTTTTCAGAATCTAAATCGGCTGTATATTGACTTATTTTTGGACCTGTAATAGACTCTATCATCTCTTCTGTTTGATTAAAATGCACATCTGTTATTGTTTCCGAATCTTCACTCGATTCTTTCTCCATCTGCCAGCCTCTCTGCACAGATGGGTTGTTTCTCACATACATTGAGATGGAAGGCTGACTGGCACGTAGAGATCGTCGAGAATCAGGCAGTTGAACTTTCCTTCGTGCCTCTCTTTCGACCAAAGTCTTTGCTGCTTTCCTATCTCTTGTGGTTTTTGCTCTAGCTGACGCTTTTTCTTGTTCATATTCTTTCCTCTGTCGTGCAAATTCCTGGGCCTCTAATTTTCGTTGTTCAATACGAGTAATTTTCCTCGAACGATTGGCTTGTTGATATGCTTTCTTGACTTGCTTGCTAGTCATGGGAGGTTTATAGGCAATGGGGCCAGCGAGAGTTGTGGGTATTAATTCGAACTTGCGCTGTGCCGACATTCTAATTTAATCAGAAGGTTGGATGCGCAGTGATATAGTAGATTAACTTCAGGCAAGTTGAGAAGCAACACGCAATACGTATTTTATTTAACCTTCAGGTCACTAATCATTAATCCAACATTCCTGTGATATTTTTTTCGCGAAATGAATCTGTGTAGATTCTGTACGTGGGACCGAATCAATATTGTAATCTTTTGAGCCTTTAGCATACGAGTCGGTGTAGATGATTATGTGTTGATATGCTTGCCGCACTAACTGTATCAACACGACGACCTGATGAGAAGGTAACTGAGATTGATCAGCAACAATTTACATGAATGGAATATGTTACAACACACTATTCAGATGTAATCTCAGAGCCAGAATGAAAGCAATTTTTCTATATACTTTCTACTAATTTGGGACATTAAATATATACTGGTCTACACCGGACCAGCAGTAGGCGTCGACATACGGATATTCGGCACAATATCTAGAGCAACGGTTCCGCGGCAGGGGGTGCAGAAAGACTAACAAAAATGTGGGCTGTCTTCATGTGATCAGCGCCACTTGGCTATGGATACGTTGCTCCGGCCTCCTTCCTCACAAGAATCAACTAGCGTACCTACTTTGGCACATGCAAATGGAAATGTCCACTTATTTTTCACCATCTTTTGTGTAACCGGCAATTGCCATCCGCGCGCTTACCAAATTCGAAGTTCCTTCTCATCCTCCACACAACCGGTCTAACCCAATATTTTTATTGGTGTATGCGGGTTGTAGTGTTTCTGACCCACACCCCGTTCTAGAATCCTACCCTACTCCTTCCATGCCAACACATATACCCCGATGGATAAGGCATGCCGTCAAACAAAGCCAAAAGGCGTTCTGTTTTTTTTTAATCGTATTTTCGTCCTTTCTCGGTCTAAGAATCTACAAGATATACAGTTCGTCTCTTCCTACAGGCCAAGGATACCTTTCTAGTAGAATAATCCCTTCTATGTCTTCTATACAGCACCCCTGAAACAGTGCCACCCATCGCAAGCCTTCATTCGGTCGTAAACTTCGAGGAATCTTTGACCTTTGTGTTCTCTCTTCTACAGCCAAATAAAGGAAAGCAATTTGCAAGAGTGTAGCAGAAAGGCGTGCTCTTCACAGCAGCGCATTCTAATAAGCACTCACAGGCTCTCGATTAAACTATTTTTGGCGGGTTCCCAATAGAACTCATACGGAGACAACCTAAGTTTTGAATCTTCCCTTTGGCGGGCATTCATGGATGGGTGTTGGCTATATGATTTAGACAAACGTAGCTCATCCTGGTATTTACGAATGACATTTCAAGGGAGATTTTCTTTTTTAAATCATTTAATGTGTATTCAGCTCTAGAGCTATGACACATGACCGGTGCTATGTATACATGATGGATGACTCTTTTGACTTTAGAGACACTCATACTCTGGATTTCATTCGCAAATACCACTATGAGGTATGTTCGCTCACACGAACAGTCAACCCTCCTCCGTAAGTACCCACCAAAGGGAATTTCAAACCCTTTGGTTATCCAAGCATGCCTTCGTCATCCATACAAACCAGCGCCCCGAGAAATGTGGTTGTGTTTTGCCGGATTTGAACCAGCGATCTACTGTCTCGAATAGGATATGTGCCCAAGCTATCCAAACCTTACTTGGCAGACCAGCCAAGACGATGTACCACCACACCATCCAACCATTGCGGTACTTATAGTGTCGCCTGCACTCTATCCTGGGTGATTGTCTGGAGTGAAATGTGTCATAAATTGCGCACAAGCTAATTGTCAACTGTCACTATTTGTTATAGTAACTAGGCTATATGTTGGAGGGCAAGACTGATCACTTGTGTGCGGTGTCCTTTACGAACCTGGGAGTGAAATATTCTCCCAGAGCCAAGTTCAGTCAAATTTTGCAATATCAAAGAGGTTGGCCCACGAGGCAAATTTTCAAATTACTCCACCACGTCGTTTTTTCGCTCCCAACGAGTTTGACGCCTACCTAAACCTTATCAGATCTACAAGTGCGACCCAGTACATCCTCATTCTAATGACTACACCACTCCTCGACCTTCTCTGGCCTCAGCCGGTCACCAAATACACGCCCACGTCGATATTTATACCCGACGGAGAAAGCAAAGGGTAGCACATAAATCTGGAAGATATTTCTTTGGGATGGACGTGAGAGGGATCAGGACAAGTTGATAAGATGATGCAGAGGATGGATATTATTTCGACTTCTGGCAAGGAGTTTTTACAAATTGAAGAGAATTGTGCGCGTCAAAACTTCGCTTGCGAGAGTGCAGCTGACACTATAAAAACAAGCAAACGATGCAAGGTGTTGTGGTCCGCCTCCTGGTCGTCATCTCCCCGAATTAATGTCTGGGTAGCCTGGACACCTACTTCACTCGAGAAAGGGAGGACTGTGAGGCCATATCTCGCGCGGTGGCTATGTACAAGATGGCAAAGGCATGTTAGGGTAGCCAAAGGTTTTTCATGTTTTCCCTTTGGTGAATATTAACGGTTGAGGGAAGGGTGAAAGTGCCTAGCACCAAGGTCTCGAGTCGTCCAAATTTGAAAATGGGGTGTATTTGCATGTAGTTGTCGGAGAAGGGGAGTCCTTTTCCGTGTCATGCTCATTGAGTACAGGGCTTGTGCCCGTCACGAATAAAATTTCACCATCATCGTTGTCGTACCTCTCGTGGTCTATTACATGCATTAAGATTAATTCCACCTTTTCTTATTCTATCCAACCTCCTCCCACTTTATTTATTCCCTTGTCTCTCATTCAGTCATACAGCGATAGAAGATCACCTATTCAAAATTAACTCAGATTATTTTTATATACTTGTAGTCTAGCTGTGGGAATTCTCCATCCAGATAATTAAAATTAATAAACTGTGCCTACAAGATTGCCAATGCGGTTTACACTGAAACCGTGACAAACTGTACAAGATCAGCCTCTCACTCTTATTTTTAATAGTCATTAATACAGTTAATCTACAATATATTTTCATCTTCACGTTAGACTTAAAGTGCTATCCTATATTTACTCACGCTGACTGTTACATCTGTTGCGACGATTCATATACTTCTCATAACCTTTTTATCTCAATATCTATGTCCTGGTTTATGTACATCCCAAAATAGTGTTGCGACACATATTTTAGTAAATACAATTTGGAAACTTGAGTATCGGATTATAAGGATTACCTAGTTACAAGCCATGCACTGGCTGTACTGTAAACGCTTCAGCTAGAATTCAGCTAGTAATGTTGCTGGCGGGTCGATGACACGATCTGTCAAGTGAGGTGTCATCTATACTTTGATGACCAGTTATTGACAAAGCACTTCACAGTTATACCAGGGAATGATAAATATTTTTAGAATAGAGTAGATAATTGGAACACAGTTTGGTGGATGGGGACTTCTATACCCAACTCATGTCACTACTGTGGGACATCAATTCAATCCTGATTCATCTACGCCTTACATTTACTGTGCAGTGTCTCTTATCAAGTTATACAAGTGATCAGAGTACGTATATTTTAATTTATCCTACATAATTTGTTACAGTAGGTAAACTGCAAGTTGAAGTCTTTAATCACCACATTGATGAAGCGTTGTGGTTTTCTCGCTTGTGTAGGAGTTTGGTATTACTAGACAATAATATACTGATTATAGGCTTAGTGGGAAAGCCTTGTCCTGGAGTATCGTTGGGGAGCCTTTATCGACTTTTTTATTCAGAGTTTCATTTTGCAGTGTGAAAAACTCTGGAGGGCTCCTCTTGCGCCAATCATCACGTCACCTGCACTAGGAAATATTTAGGACCTTAAGGTAATAGGATAAACGCTGAAAATCAAACTAATGTTGAAGTTGTGACTGTTGCTGTACAAGAAATCTTAAACGAATGATTTCATCTATAACTGAAGATTCACAAGATCTATTTGTAATTGAAGCTGCAGGAAGGCTTCAATTTGAACGATGAACTATAATCATATCGTTAATGTAGAACATAAGTTTAAAGTTCTTTTTCGCTTAGCTAGAAATCGATTACTTGAGGTCTACATATGCAGTGATTTCTTCCTGAAATAGGAGTAGAAACGGGTTAAACTTATGATAAATCTCCAAAACTTTCCAAACGTCTACGAGATGGTCGCACGAGCTGTGATAATAATTCATCAAGTAATTTCCAGTTTTCTTGCTTTTCAGCAAATTTTCGGTGCTTGCGGGAAAGGATATGCTATAGCTGGTGAGAATTGAACTAAAATTTCGAGTATCGTACTTACTTCGTTGAAGTCTTCGAACTTATCTTGGCAGTTTTCACAATAGCCAGGTTTAGGGTCGATTTGTGATGCGCTTATTTGTGGGGTTGATTTGTTCTTTTTACTAGACTCGGCTTTCGGTAAAGACCTATCTACATCTAGTGAGTTACAATTATCTTCAGCTTTGGATATTTCGGTGTAGCTTTTTTTACTACTTCTTGAATTACCCTCATCAAGAGTTAAAGTGCCACATTCAATTATTCGATGAGAGCTTGTTGGTCCAAATGATCCAGATCCGTAGCTATTTTTTTCCAGTACTTTCCTCTGAAGATCGTGAACTTCTTTGCTTGTTCCAGCCTTAATTCCAGGTTGTGTTGTTGTAGAAGACATGGTAGACCGAATAGCAGAGGTAATAACGGGCTGAACACCAGATGCAATAGGCTCACCACCATAAAGGCGGCCCACCCCTGCACGACTGACAAATGCGTTTCCGCTCATCAAAGACTTATTTGTTATTTTTTGCGAGATGGATTCTCTTTTTTGGCTAAATATTTTTTTTTGCTGAGCTGCCGTGGCTGCGGTGTCACACTCGTCGCGTTGGTCTTCAATATCGCATTTTCCATTGACGAGATTGGGAGGTTGCATGACGCAAGGTGAAGCTAAATTCCCAGCATCGAGCGCTTTTCCCTTTTCTTTTTCTCTCTGTCTCCGAAGCCTAAGTTGCTCTCTTTCTTTCTCTACTTCTCGCTTTTTATATTCAAATTCATCAATAAAGGGACATTTTCCATTCGCAACACTTCGGAATTGTGGCCAGTCTCCGTCCTCCTTATTACACACTTTAGGATACTCTCGGACCATTATAGGCTTCTGCCTTTCATCAATATCATGAATATAAATAAAAGGTCCCTTGAAAAGAGAAAGCTCTTTCGAAGCGACGCTTGGGTCACGATCAGAAGGACCATTCATTCTTTCATTTCTTAGAAGCGAATGAAGATCTGTTTCGTGGCATATTCTGGAATTGGTTGCCGACGTAGAGCCATTCCGATTAACTTGGCTAGCAAGACATCCTGAATCAGTATCAAACATAACACTGATTATCCGCTCTAGTTTTTCAAGCGACCAGATCTTCATACCAAGTCCACGAGCTTTGTGTAAGACATCTGTAATACGTCCAATATGCCTCTTTGAATCACCCATAGCATTACAAGATCCAAATTTTCTGCCTGTCTGTGCCTCTAAAGATGCTTTAATTTTGGAGCCAAGTTCGAAGTTACAATTTGTACTCTCCGAAAACTTTTCGAGAAGAGATGGATTTATGGTCTGAGATTGGCTGACTTGAGACTCAGAATTGGTAACCGGTGCACTATTTTCTTCCAAATTGACTTGAATTAACGATGGAATATTCCTGGTGGTAACTACATGAGTTACGGTGTTAGAGAAGAACTTTTCTTCCCGCTAAGAATATTTCAGCAATATTAAGGTGCCAGTAGACTTTGAACTTACGGCACCGAGAATTAGTACTGCCTTTGAATATTTAGCCTGTATATCAGGCGTTACATTCTCGAAGTAAAATACAAAGCTTGGGAATATCCTTCTGTAGTGCTTCTGCCACTGTCTGATGGATTCTTGATCTTCAATCACACTTCTCTCAGGCTTTGCAAGGGAATTCTGCGTACGTTCTCGGGCAGTAAATAATTTACGATCAAGTGATGTGAGCTGGTTGCCACCGTCTTTCCGTGCGAGTGCATTTAATCCCAAGGAGTGAATATTGAGAAAGCGTGGAGGGGTTCTTAATAAATGAGCTTCCAACATCTGCTTCTTAGCTGGTGGTGGCTGGCCATATGTTTCCTCGCGTTGGACATTGGCATGAGAACGTTTTTGTTTTGAAGAGGTAGATGTTGATACCACTGCTCGAAAAGGAGAATTAATTGCACTTGGGTTGTTAGACAAAGGAGTCCTTCTATTGGACATTTTCAAAAAGCTTTCTGGTATTGGTGACAAGGTAACTGCTGCCATAGGACGCAGCAGAGGGTTTCTTTTGGACGTTGGTTCGGAAAATTTGTACACGCGTAAAGCGTACAAGTTTAGTACCAACCTTACAGAAACATTTAAATGGGTCTCTTTTCATCGGTTTGTATCGCACAGTTGAATCTTTGAAGTTAAAAGAGCGTGTTGAGGACACACTAAGATCAGTTCTTGTTGTGAACAACAAGTGGCATAGCGATATCCAAAGTTGATAAGCTCGGACCACTACGCGGGTACGTATTTTATATAAGCAATCAGTCGTCATGTGCGCGACAGATATTGAATCATACAGCAACACCTTAAGAAGGTGGTTAAATACGCCCTTGCCAAATACAGGACTACAGTTAACAAATAATAGTATTTCTATTCAATCGAAGTTTTCAAACTGCTAAAACCATGAGGCAATGGTCAATCATTAGTCATATTGGCAGACAAATTTGTCCGTTTGCACGAATCAATGTTCAAGCGCGATACCCACCTAGATCACTTTCTCAGTCTCGAAGATTACACTATTCCATTTCTCAACGAGGTCCCCAGTTCGGACAGCCAGTATACGAAACCCATCCACATATTTTAAATCCTGGCGAAAGTAAGCTCTCCGTCCACATCACACCGAAGATAACTTAGAAAATAGTAACACCAGGTATATCCGCCCTAGAATACTCTACTAGAAGAGCTAAACTGGCCGCAAGCCTACCTAAGGATGGTGTAGCTATCCTAGCTTCTTCAAATACGCAATACCGCTCCGGAGCCGTATTCCATGAATTCCACCAGGATTCCAACTTCTTTTACCTAACAGGATTCAAAGAGCCCGAAGCTGTTGCTGTTATACAAAAGATAGGGTCATTCTCTAGCTATAAATTCTCACTTTTCTTGAGAGCCAAAGATGCAGAAGCCGAGTTATGGGATGGTGCCAGATCAGGCGAACAAGCCGCCTTAGATGTGTTTAATGCAGATGAGGTTGATCGTACTATGACATAAATCAGCATTGCTGATAATTTTACAGTCCGGAGACATTAAGAACCTACATAAATTACTCCCTTCGATCATTTCTGAAGCAAGTATCATCTATACCGACAATTCACGAATTCTCGGCTGTGGATCAACTTTTTCTCGTCTAGACTCAAACTCAAACGACATCTATAGCCTGATTAAAGATTACCGAGTCAAACCGATAAGGCCCCTCATGAATAATCTCAGGATTCTAAAGAGTGAAGCTGAAATACGAAATATGCGAAGCGCAGGTAAAGCCTCTGGTCAAGCATTCACAAATGCTATGCGTCTCCATTGGACAAAAGAAAAAGATTTACGAGCTTTCCTGGACTATGAGTTTAAAATAAATGGTTGTGACAACACAGCTTATGTTCCAGTTGTTGCAGGTGGTCAAAACGCTCTAGTAATACATTATGTTCGCAATGATGATGTTCTAAGATCAAAAGAAGTTGTGCTAGTCGACGCTGGTGGTGAGTATGGTGGCTACATCACGGATATCACCAGATCTTGGCCTATCAGAGGCAAATTCACAGATTCACAGAAAGATTTATATGAAGCCATTCTAGATGTTCAGCGTAACTGTATCTCACTCTGTAGGGAGAATGCAAATATGACGCTTGACAAGATCCATCAGAGAGCAGAAACTGGCTTGAAAGAAAATCTAGAACAACTGGGGTTTGATTTTAGCCGCTATCCCCTAAACTCCTTATTTCCTCATCACGTTAGCCATTACATTGGCCTAGATGTTCATGACTGCCCAGGTCATAGTCGAACTGAAAACCTAATTGTAGGGCACTGCCTAACTGTGGAGCCAGGAATTTATATTCCTCACAATGATGTGCGCTGGCCTAAACACTACAGAGGTATGGGTATTCGAATTGAAGATAGTATATCTGTACAATATGATTCGCCTTTGATTCTCACAACAGAAGCAGTGAAAGAAGTTGATGACATTGAGTCGCTAAGAGACTAATAATGATATTTCACCTCTACAATAGACTGTAGGAACAAGTACTTCACATTATATCCAACAAATCAACTCTGTATTTAGTACCATCATAAGCAGGCTCTGCTCGCGCCAGATAGTCTTTTACAAAAAGTTCTTCAAACATGTATCTTAACATAAGCTAATAATCTTTGAGGATGGGAAATTGTAGGTAAAGCCTTAAAATAATCGGTCACTGGGTGTTATTTCAATAATTTACAATCAAAACGTTTAACCTCTGCTCAAGACTAAAAATCCAAAACTAAAAATCCAAAAATTCTGTGGCATCTAGCTCTCTGATCTAGTCATCTACAAATAGCCTTGATTTTTTTTGCATCAGACTTTCCTTGCGTGTGCAGCTAGCTAACTATGACACATGACCGGTGTCACCATTCCTGAATAACTTTGAGAAAATCGATGAAATACCCTATAATCATCTCCCATACCCTTCGATACGCATACATTAACGCTAATTCGACTTCTCATAGTAGCAAGATCTCAGATGGGAGGACAAGACTGAACACCTGTACGCGGTGTCCTCTACGAACCTGGGAGTGAAATATTCTCCCAGAGCCAAGTTCAGTCAAATTTCGCAATATCAAAGAAGTTGGCCCACGAGGCAAATTTTCAAATTACTCCACCACGTCGTTTTTTCGCTCCCAACGAGTTTGACGCCTACCTAAACCTTATCAGATCTACAAGTGCGACCCAGTACATCCTCATTCTAATGACTACACCACTCCTCGACCTTCTCTGGCCTCAGTTAACCACCAAATACACGCCCACGCCGATATTTACACCCAACAGAGGAAGCAAAGGGTAGCACATAAATCTGGAAGATATTTCTTTGGGATGGACGTGAGAGGGATCAGGACAATTCACAAGCTGATGCAAAGGAAGGGTATAACTTCGAAGGGCGTGATATTCTGAATTTTGGCAAGGAGTTTTACGAGTTAAGCTTTGTGCGCGCCAAGACTTCGCTTGCGAGAGTGCAGCTGCCACTATAAACGCAAGCCAACGATGGAAGGTGTTGTGATCCGCCTCCTGGTGGTGTTCTCCGGTATAGTCTGAGTAGCCTTGACACCTACTCCACTTGGGAAGAAGACATCTCAGACCATATTTCTCGCGGAGAAAAGTTGATGGATGACAAAGTCATGTCTGGATAACTCAGGGGATTTGAGACGTTCCCCTGGGTGAGTATTCACGGATGAGGGTTGACTTGAGGTGAAGAAAAAGCCACAATAACTTTGCAGTGGTACTGTTATGATTAAGGTATGAGTAGGTATGAGATGTTGAATATTCTAGGGATAGTGCAGAGGGTGGATAACGATTATCAGAGCTTGACGATATGATGAATAGCTTGGTTATATAGTTCTATATATCACAGTAGTAGACAGTACTTATATACACATATTTGGTACCCGCTATACAGTACATCACCGTCTATGCATGAAGTACTACAATCTTAATTCTATGCAATACTATCCCACATTACTCTATGCCATTGTATAGAGCTGCGCCTCAATAGTCGATCGTAATAATAGCCATGTAGGGCTGTGCAGTACTCGCATAGATGTGTTGTACCCCTGGCACTTGGCAGAGATAAATTTAGAGTAAATGCAATAATCACATCACAACAGGTACTTGCAAATGAAATCCGAGGCATCAGTGCTCTTCCTTTGCGATGAATCATCAATTCTGTACTTTTCTTTGATATTGTGTCATAGCTAGAAAGCTGCATGCGCAATTAAAATCTGATGCAAAAAAAAAATATCCTAGATCTGTTGTAAAGGTAAGAGCTTATAGAGGTTAATTGGCAGAAGATTTACGGATGATTATCGATGAATCAATGTGAACTGCTGATATATTTGATATTCAGAACTACAAGGAATCAGGAGGTAGAAAGCACTCATTATATACACATCTGAGGTAGCTAGACTCTCGCCTCATTTACCCAAAATAGTATCACGGAATATTCTAGTCTCCTCCATCTGGCAGTACAATCTAGAAACACTTTCTATACAGTGCTCCATTGTTCCTCTACTCATCATGGAGCCACCTGGAAAGTTCTTCCTTCACCCTCAGTGATCATTACCCTCGTGCATCGTAATCCTAGCCATCACCAGCACATTAAGATCTCCAACATGTCATCGGGGCCTGCCAAATCATCGCGGCTTTTTCGCCATAAAAGAATTGTGGACAGAATGAATACCAAGTTGAAAAAGCACTTGGAACGCAAAAGAATACCATTGAGCTCGATGGAAAGGCGAAAGATGGAATTGGATATGGCCGAGAGGGTAAGAGCCTTCGAAGAAGATTCGAACTCCACAAATCCAGATATTGAGATGGGTGATGCGGCCATCAGTCAATATATCATAGAGGGGCTCGAGAGCTCGCGGTTCAATATACAGGAATCCAAAGACGGTCAGGCCTCAGAGGCCCCATTAATATAAACAAGGAAGATTGCTGTGCCGACTATGAAGCGGACATCTAATGTTGACGCAAGAAAGGCCGACGGAGCAGCGTCCACCACAATCCCTCAGAATATCATTCCGAAGGAAATTGGAAACCAAACTTCTTGCAGCGATAGTAGCCCTAAGAACACTGCGACTTTTTTCTCCCGAGCTTCGAGCCATAATTAAAGCCGAAGAACAGCGAGCGGCCTAGACCGCAACTAATCTTACAATATGCACCGCTGCTATCGATGATGTGGAGAATTTGCTCTCACCTTTATCCAAAGGATCAAGCGTTCAATTGATAGACTTCATGAAAGTCTACCTCCGAGCTGCAATAGCTCAATTCATGATGTCGGGACCAGGAACAGCCCTTCACAACCTCCACCCTCGACAAAACTACGAGCATTATGGCGAAAGGACCTGAAACAGAAGATTGAAAAGCAGCCAGAGCTGCTACAAAAAGTGACACAGGTCAAGGTAACTCAGGTCAAACCTACCTGGGCGACAGTTACCCGAACTGGACTTAAGACGCCCGTAGCACCAGTGAAAGACGTTCAAGTCCGCAACAAACTCTCGGTATCAGCGAAACCTCTAGCAAAGGCTATGTTACAGGCTATTGCCTTGTAGATGGGATCCGGAGTTAATCTGGCTCCTAGGAGCTGATTATGTCAGCGATAAGCGAGACAACATCTAGGGGGTGATCCCACAAGTATGCAGTTTTTCTCTTTAGACACAAAATAAACCCATTTTTGATACACTCGTGCGGACAGCTGTTCTCTCTGGTGCCATCCTTTCACATATTTTGTGTCCCAACTTTTTTTTACACTGCTAGTGCAAGTTTTAAAACCTCTCCTAGTTTTAATAACTTTTTTTGTACATGAGCACGTTTAGATTCCCATCACCTACTGACTTTGCCTATAAAAACCATTCAGTTCTTTCACAAGATAACTTATCAATGTCTGATTATAACATGGAAAACTTGCCCCTCTCGTCTAATTCCAAAGCAGCGCTGCCAAAGACTAGATTGACACAGGAGCAATTAAATCAGCTTTTATCTCTCATAGATGTTGAAGACGGCCCAGCTCCCGAAGAACTTAGATCTGCCCCAACCTCTGGAAGAAAAAAGGCTGCAAGATGGCCAGAATGGGATGGATCTAAAAGCTCTACAACACTTTCATGGATCAGCTAAACACTAAGATAGAAGTTGATTGGGAGTTGCTAGGAGGTCACCGCGCTGTTTGTATGGAGATGATGAATGCAATTCCCAAACAGTGCAGGACTCGAGTTTCACACTGGTTTTCTACAGGCGATCCAAATAACAATTGGAATTATAAATCATTTCTTCGCCATTTTGATGAAATTTTTGAGGATAAAACGTCTGCAAAAGCTGCGGGTGAATCGCTATCCATGATGAGGCAAGGTCAACATCAACTTTTTTCCGAATTTCTTGGAGACTTTGAGAACACACTTGCACAGGCAAAGGGGCTTAAATGGGAAGGTCGCGTTAAAATTTACCATCTGAGCTTGTGTTTAATTGATCGATTATCGGATGCTCTGGTTTATGTAACGACCTCAGAAAATGACTATACACTATTTGTCGGAAAATGGCGAGAAGTCTCGGGTAAGCTAGAAGCTCGTGACAACTACTTTCCGAAATGAGGTCCAATTTTTTCAAAAGCGTGGTATATTAACAGGCAAGATGGCACTCAACCAAGATCTGCTTTGGGTCCTGAAATTTCCTCGAGCAATTTACAAGAAAAAATTTCTAATATCGTGGATGCCGATGGTGATACTCAAATGTCGGGGATCAATGGCATAAGCATTACAACAGTGACCGCAATTATCAACGCAGTGAATTCACAGAATTCAGGAAAGGGGAGTATTAAAACTAGCAAACCCCCGGCGCCATGGCGTTCCCCAGAAGTATTTGCAGCCTTGCGTGCGGCAGGTAAGTGTACCCGCTGTGAGAAAAATGGACATTGGCACAAAAAATGCCCCGATTTTACCTGGGCAAGGAGACCCTCGAATATAAATGTGATAGCAGCTAGTAGCTCAAAAACTCGAAGGCCATGTTTAGGTTCAGCAGTCGATGAGGAAGAGTCGGGAAACGAGTGAATTCTGGACAAAGTCGGGCCCAGAGGAAAATGTTAGCAATGGCCGAAGAAACGAAAAGTATTGTAAAGAAATTAGATGGCACACCCTTCCTGTTAGAAGTATTAATTAATAAAAGTTTTTACACCGATATATTTATGGACTCAGGGTGCTTATGCTATTCCGCTTTCAATTATTCATTTGTAAAACGCCACAAGCTATCGTAAATTCCTATCGAAATGAGAGAGGTGAAACTGGCAAAGAATGATGATCACCGGCGCTCTATAAACAAAATAACCTGTGTAGATATGGATATTGATGGCAGGTGTGAAAGAATCTGGGGTTGTATCATTGATGATCTTGCTTATGACATAATCCTGGGTGATCCTTGGATGAGAGCTAATGATGTTCTATATAACGCAAGGCAGCGTTATATTCGTT